TACGTACGTAGTACGTATAAGTACACACGACCACCACCTACCACCACCACACACACACACACACACACACACACACACACACACACACACACACACACACACACACACACACACACACACACACACACACACACACACACACACACACACAGACAGACAGACAGACAGACAGACAGACAGACAGACAGACAGACAGACAGAGAGAAAGAAAGGATATTCTTTGATCATGTCGAGTTGTGGCCGCCCCCAGCTGAAGAAGCTGTCAGCCTGGTCCACAGCAGGCTGCAGGTAGGCCTGAGCCACCGCAGGGTTTGGAAACCCAGGATGGAGTTTCAAGGTTCTCAATTTCTTCTTCACCTTTGTGTCCCGAGGATCAGAAGACAGACGCTTGTTCTGCTGGGCCGCTGACCACCATTCCCTTCAGAAAACAAACAATAACCAGGTGATTAAATCTTTAAACATGCAACATTTTGTTCAAAAACTTGATATTGTTTTAATCATAACACGTGTTTTCTGTCATACCATCAGTTAATGGAAATGTTTGAGCCACATAGCTAATTAAGGAAATAATCAAGATAATATTGTATTTGAAAGATTTTGGCCAGGATAGTTACTGTCTAACAAATTCCATATTTACACAGGTAAATATAAAACTACTGGAGCCTCAAACATGTCATAAAGAGATGAATAAATAAGCCTGGACAATACATGTATTTACAGTCACAGTAGATTGAGCTTGGAGGGATTAAGAGTAAAAGAAAAAGATGTCAGGATGATCAAGATGAAGAAATAAAAAGATGAATAAGCAGACTGCACACGCATACCATAAAATACATCGAGATCAAAACCTCTTTAACTGACCTTAACTGTGTGAGTGGCTCCAAGCCCGGCCCTGTGAACTCGTTCAGTAGCTCCATGCCCGTCACATACCCGACCCCCGGCAGACCCTCTGTGTAGTCGCTGCCCAGCAGGTAGGCCAGGTTTATCAGTTTAGTCCTGTCCAGACCTGAGAGGGAGACAGAGAGGGAGACAGAAACCACATTATCATTTGCAACATAAAATTAAAGAGTTCAAGTCATTGGAACAATGTAAACAGTGTCGAAATCTGTCCAAAAATATATAAAGGTTTTCTGAATGTATTTAGCATCAGTAATCAGATAAAAAAAGGGAATATTCCTCTCATATGATCTTATAGAGTATACATTGAAAGCAAATCCGGCTTGTACTGTGAGCCGTAGGGTCGCTGGTTTAATTCCCCGAACAGACCTAAATATGAGTGTGGACTTGGAGAGGTCCCAGTTCACCTCCCCTGCCGTGGTGAGCTTGAGCAAGGCACCGGAGAACCCCCTTCCCCCCCACTACCAATTGCTCCCCGGGCGCTGTACACTGCTCCTACTACTAGGATGGGTTAAACTCAGAGGTCAAATGTCACTGTGTGTGCATGTGTGAGAACTAAAGAAGGTTTCATCCTCCGATTCTATCCATCTATCTAAGACCCGTTTAACAGTTAACAAAAAAAAGAGGACAAAAGGAAATCTTTTCTTAAACTTGTTAAAACATTGAAGTGCAAACTATTAAAAACATGTGATTGAAAGCACTGACCCAGTTGGTTCTGCAGGTCACTGTATTGGAAGTGTTCAACATATTTGTCCTGGTTGAAGAAGTTCCTGTAGACGTGTCTCCCTCCAAACAGCCACACGTCGGAGTCGTCTGTGATGGTCCCGTTAGTGTGGTCAGCGCGGTCCAGTGCCGCACACTGAGCCTCGGCCTCCATCGGAGCCACCAGGTACGGCACGCCAAACAGCCGCAGCAGCTCCTGGAACCAGAGAGGGAAACATATTATTCACAAAAAAGTATTTATCAAGACACAATGTCCAAAACTGTTGTTGGTTCATAGTCATACTGAAACTTCTGATAACACTGAAACCTTTTGCCAGGATTTAAATGATCTTTTTATAATGTGCGAGTATCTGTATTTATCTAAGAAATACATTGGCTCTTAGCAGCATTATTCAAACAGCCAGTGAGTTTAATAAAGAACTGGCCATTTAGGGTTTTAAATTACATGGGGATTTAAAAAAAGAGAAGATGCTGACAGTGTGTGACATCTGAGAGTGTGAGTGAGTTGACAGACACACTTACACTTGCAACAAAGATGAAGTAATACTCTCTGCACATCTTTGGCACAGATACATGTATCCCACTGTTGGCCTTACGCCTTCTGTAGGCGTCTCCTCTCTAATGTCATATCTCAGGTGTGAGGGTGGAGTGCTTGTGTGGTTCAAATGTGTCTTTAAGTGCTGTCTTTGGTTCACCTGGCTCTCTAGCTGCATCTGCCCGGTGACTGTGTTGGCCATCCTCTCCTGCTGCTGTTTCAGCTCCCTCAGGCTGCTCTGCTCCACCTGCAGAGAGCTCTCCAGAGCCTGCAGCTCTTCCTGCAGCAAACACACAAACACACACACACACACACACACTTAGCCGTGCCTCATACACATCACGTCACTGAATGCTCACTCTAAAGCACAGCTACCAAATTCAACCACATCACTCAAAAAACATCTAGATGTCTGCTTGTCCATGCTACACTGCAGCCCCATGTAGCTTGCATGAAGAGACACCTCTGCTATACTGCAGAGACAGAACGTTTTCTTGCCAGTGATAGGCTTAATCAGCGTTGTGTGAATGTATTTGACATGGCTTGAATATAAAAGCCCTGCATTACAGCTTCGACGGAATGGCCAGTCGAAAGGAAATGGGGGAGCGTTATGTAGAGGGGGGATTAATTATGCATTAACTTTAAAATAGGTATTAACATTGAGGTCAAATTCTCGCAGGCAGGAATGCTTACCACATCAAAGTGTTCCCATTCATTGACCGCTGGAGTTGAGCTGGATTCTGTCTCTGTGCCCTCCTCTAACTCTTCCTCTTCACTCTCTCTTTTCTTCTCTTCTTCTTCCTCTATTTGTAAAGCAGCAGCTGGAACCTCTGTCAAACCTTTCTTGGACTCTTCTTCTTGCTTGGTCCCTGCCTTATTGACCTCATCCGGAGGTCCTTTGTCTCCAGTAATCACAAGTGAATCATCTGTTTCCTCCTCTTCAAATTCTTCATCTGACACCTCGATGAAGCTTTCTGGGAAAACATGAAAACAGCACCTTTTGTTAATATTTGCCCAATAACACAAAAATGTGGGATCTTAACCCTGACTGTTACTGCACCTTCTGATTCGCTCTCCTCGCTGCGATGCAACTTCACATCATCTCCATTCCTCTCCTGAAGGGCTTCAATCACCGTATTGCTCTCCTGCTTTAACAGCACAGGATGTCCCGCCTCCCTCTCTGCACTGAGAGCTTTCACACACAGTGCAGCTGAGGGATTGTTCGATAATGTGATTTGACTGGAAGCAGCAGCATCCACTAGCTTTGACATCAACCCGTGCTCTGATTCTCTTCCCTCCAGTTCTTCTTGTCCTCTACTGCCAATCTTTATATCCTCTGCCAACTTTCCTTTCTGCGTCTCCACTTCCGAGCTCAGCCCTGTTTTGTGAGGTTGTTGCAGTGGTGCAAAGTGAACAGCCTTATTTCTTTCCCCAATTACAGCCTCGGTCTCATCTTCAGAACTACTATCAAGCAAAAGGTCTTTCACATGTACACTTTGGCCTGTTGGGTTTCCCTTCAAATCTGATTTTCCTTTTGGCAAAGTGTCTGGTTCTTCCTCTGAGCTGCTGATGACCACGTGAGGCGCAGGAGGAGGAACGCTAAACTGCAGTTTGGTGGCCGTGCTGTTGATGAAAGTCCCGTGTCGAGCAAAGCCACCTTCCTCCTCAGCGAGGGCTTGTTGGATTGCGAGCAGGGTCCGGGGGGACACACCCCCTTCCTTCCTATCTTGGTCCACCTTGTCCTCGTCTGAGCTGTCATCCATTGCACCTTGGATCGCCTTGAGTGTACGAGGTGAGGGGGGGGATGTGTTTCCAAAAGAAGGTTTGGAGACAGAGGGTTTGGAGACAAAGGGTTTGGACACAGAGGGTTTGGAGTCTTCTGAGGCGTGACCCCACCCCTCTGGCCCCTCCTCTGCTGCAGGGCGCCACAGGGGCTCCGGTCTGTCCACCGCTCGTCTCTTAGAGCCCGTCAGGATGCTGCCGGCCCAGGCTGCAGCTGCAGGGCGGCTCTCAGGGGCGGGTTCTATCTTTTTGGAGCCTGTGTGAGCAAAATGAAAGTGTTTTAAACAAGTCTGCATTTTATGGATCACAAGGACCGATCCAGGAAAACATTCCTGCTCACTGCCATAACTCTATATAACAAATCACCTCTGGCTGGCAGATACCTCGCTGCTCCATAGCTTCTCTTTGGATAACTGGACTCACTGTACATTTTACATGTATTTATAATGTAATATTTCATTCATACACTCTAAATGTAAATAATATCCTGCTTTATATTGTGTCTAAAGCCCTTCAATAGCGTTTTATTGTCAGAGTTTATAGATTTTTTATCTTCACGGGCCTACAGTATATTTTCTACTTTTTAATGCTGCTTTAATTCAATTTTGAGATGTTTAAATTCTAGTATTATGAATTTCTACTCTTTAATTTCTACTTATGTCTTGTTGGTTTTTATGCTGCTGCAACGCAAACATTTCCCAAATTTGGATCAATAAAGTACCTCCTACCTCTTATGATAGTCTCTTTCAACAAAGAGAAAACCCACAATTGTTGCAAAATGTACTTTACAACACCACTAAATTCGTTTTTTGCAGAGATTTAAATTATGTTTAAGATTAGTAATTAATAACCCTGAACAATTAGTCTGCTTAACTTTATCCTAAAGTGACACTGTTTAATAATACCAATGTGGGCAGTGACTGTTGAAATGAACAGTTTTTGATGCGTTCAAGCAATCTGACAACTGATAGTTGATCAATTTTCTGTAAAATACTGAGAAACTGAGTAAACACACCCTCATAAATGTCCTCACCTTTAATAAGTATGTAGTGGGAATTGTCCTCTGAAACCAGGCGGCGTGACTCCACGCTGTGACTCTGCTGGTCCCCGTCCTGTTGGACGAGCTGTGGAGCGCTGCCGGCGCTCAGCTGGCACATCTCACTCTCCACGCCCCGCAGACGCTGGTTCAGATGGTTCCTCTGCAGCAGGCCGGCCAGCTGGTACTGTGAGAAGTCTCCTGAGCGCTAAGAGAAAGTGAAGAGGAGTCAGCGTTATTGAACAGGCTATGGGAGAGCGTGTGTGTGTGTGTGTTAGTGAATAAGAGTGAACAGTACCTCTGGGGGTTTCTGGTACATGGTCCGACGCCTTTTGGAAAACTCTTTCATTTCTTTGAGTATCTCATGTTTCATTTCAAGCGGCATGCTGGCAAACTCTTCTGAGTTGATGTCCACTGAGTTAGGCTTTTCATATAATTCTGCCTGAAACACAGTAAGCTGATGTCAATTATGATACTGGGCAATAATACAAAGAAAGGCTGAAGGATGAAGCCAACCAACACAAGAACATCTGAATAATGTGATGTTTTTATTTTCCTTGGCAAAACTACTTTTTTGCAACACAGCCACAACCACAAAGCATTGATCAAATATAATTAAAACTGAGATACCATCCATATTCGCAAAACAGTGGTAGTGTTGTGGTGGTGATATGGACCGTGACACATTTATGCATGTCATACTTTTACCTGATACATATGATATCCCTCATCTGTCTCATCTGTCTCCTCCAACTCTTTCTCCTCCTCCTCCTCCTCTGAACTGCAAGAACAAAACACATTAACATTATTAAAGATGGGGTAGGTAATTTTGGAGAAACCAGCTCGAGTGCGCTAGAATTTGAAAATTCACAACCGGAAAAAATCTGCCACTTCCTTACAGAGCCCCTCCTCCAACACACACGAACGCGCACATGACCAATGAGGGCACGAGATAAGTTTGTGCACAGATGGAAGGCTGACAGGAAGGTAGGCCATCCAGTTATTTTAGACGGGCCGGCTAAAATGATTGGTCGTGCTTTTTACAGTACTACGGCTTCCACTGATGACATTTTTTAATGGATTTTTTGTCAAAGCACTTAAGATATTCATTGCTATCGGGATGTTAAGAACATTCCATGGAATATAACAAAAAGTGTATCTCCAGCCGGTTTCTGAAACCGGCTGGAGATACACTTTTTGTTATATTCCATGGAATGTTCTTAACATCCCGATAGCAATGAATATCTTAAGTGCTTTGACAAAAAATCCATTANTTTAGTTGTTTTTGAAGAAAAAAATAAAATAAACATACAGTACTACTTTAAAAAATATTTGAATTATTACTAATGTCTGAACTAATATTTTCTTCCCACTCACTGTTGATGTTTCAAAACATTGGGACTAAGGAGCTGTGAAACAACACACAGCAATTATTCCAGTCAAAGCTGAGAAGACAGGTGGATAGAAAAGTGACAAAAGGCAGCAGTTCATCACCAATTCATATTTATTTTTATTTATTTCCAGTGGATTCATTAACACTTAATGTTTAGTATATGAGCCTTGCTCCGGGGAAAGGCTCTTTCTTGAAACGCTTTGTCCATCTTTATAAGAGGATACATCATTATAACATCCTAATGAATACAGTGGTTGTAATTATTCATACTGAGGTAAAAAAAGATCAAAGGTTAAAAGGCTAGTACAATTTAGCTTTCAAATTATACTTTGTCTAATTCAAATTGATATAAGGCATCACAATAACTGCAGGTAACTCACATGTGACCGTAATTTGCATTTTAAGACACAGTTCATATATTCAAGGCACACGTGTAAATCATTATAATGTCAATCAAAACTTTTTTTCCAAATTCAAGATCATTTGAGACATAGCAGTTGGTAATCATGCTCATGGTTAAGTCAAATGAGCTAGAGCACCTCATGTCTGTTCTAGAAGAGAACAAGGAATTTGGACAATTTAAGAAAGTTACATAAAATAAAACATTTGCATATAGAAGAAGCGAAAGGTACAAAAAAAAGATTGCTAACAGGCACCTTTATAACAACACCACAGTGATATATGTTTCCTTTTGAAATGGATCCCGATTATTAATACTGGTGTACCTTTATAAGACCGGGTCCTTGCGTTGTCATGCAGCAGTTCTCCTGGATATTCTACCATCTCAGGTAGTCGTAGCGTTGCAGGCTGTTGAGCGAAGCCGATTACTTGTGTCCCAACGACTCAGCGAGCTTCTTCAGCCTTTTCTTCAGCTCCAGAGGAAACTTCTCATAACACTTTTTACACACAGGCTTCATGTCAAACTCAACAAATTTGTTCCTGCAAAGAAAGAAAAGAAAGACACCGTCAACACTAAATACAGTTGCAAGAAAAAGTATGTGAACCCTTTGGAACTACCTGGATTTCTGCATAAATTGGTCATAAAATGTGTTCTGATCTTCATCTAAGTCACAACAATAGACAAACACAGTCTGCTTAAGCTAAAACCACACAAACAATTATATGTTTTTATGTTTTTATTGAACACACCATGTAAACATTCACAGTGCAGGGTGGAAAAAGTATGTGAACCCTTGGATTTAATAACTGGTTGACCCTCCTTTGGCAGCAATAACCTCAACCAAACGTTTCCTATAGTTGCATATCAGACCTGCACAACGGTCAGGAGGAATGTTGGACCATTCCTCTTTACAAAACTGTTTCAGTTCAGCAATATTCTTGGGATTTCTGGTGTGAATCGCTCTCTTGAGGTCATGCCACAGCATCTCAATTGGGTTGAGGTCAGGACTCTGACTGGGCCACTCCAGAAGGCCTATTTTCTTCTGTTGAAGCCATTCTGTTGTTGATTTACTTCTGTGCTTTGGGTCGTTGTCCTGTTGCATCACCCATCTTCTGTTGAGCTTCAATTGGTGGACAGATGGCCTTAAGTTCTCCAGCAAAATGTCTTGATAAACTTGAGAATTCATTTTTCCGTCGATGATGGCAATCTGTCCAGGCCCTGAGGCAGCAAAGCAGCCCCAAACCATGATGCTCCCTCCACCATACTTCACAGATGAGGTTTTGATGTTGGTGTGCTGTGCCTTTTTTTCTCCACACATAGCGTTGTGTGTTCCTTCCAAACAACTCAACTTTGGTTTCATCTGTCCACAGAATATTTTGCCAGTAGTGCTGTGGAACATCCAGGTGCTCTTTTGCAAACTTCAAACGTGCAGCAATGTTTTTTCTGGACAGCAGTGGCTTCCTCCATTTTATGACCAACTTGTGCAGAAATCCAGTTAATTCCAAAGGGTTCACAGACTTTTTCTTGCAACTGTATGTAAACCAATGACTCGTCTCTGGCCCTTATTTACCTTTTTGATTTCCCTCTCAGCTGCATTATCTTTCTCTTAATATTATCATCACTGCAGCTTTACATTGATTGCAAGTCACAGTCTCCTTATTAGCATTAGGGCCACACTGTTAGGGAGCAACACTTTAGTGCAGCAATTCATTATCTCACTCAAATAAAAACATGAAACTTGATGGAAGTATGGAAGTATGGCTGAAACAAACTACTCGTCTATCTACAGATCAGATTTACAAACACTTAGGTCGAGTAAATAAGACAAAAATACAGCGACTGAGAGCTCATGCAAATAGCCAAAATGCAAGCAAATGAAGAAGATATTTTGAATATTTGTTGGGATTTAGGACATTAATTGAAGAAAACAAGATCTTTAAAGACCTAATTTTGGACTCTGAAAATGTATAATAATTTGATATTTATTATTTATTTTCGTTTTATATATATATATATATATATTAAACTATTTAAAGAGACAATGTTAACCAGATAAATCAAGATGAACCAGATAAATCACAGAATAACAGAGGAAGAAGTGGAGAAAGCACCAACCAACGGACGGAGTTGTGAGTTGTAAAGAATCATAACTCTACACACAGACAGCCGGTCTTTTCTTCCGCTCTTTGGCATCACGCTCACGGCGAGCCAGGCGGCGTCTCAGCTCCTCGGGCATGCGCTCATAGCAGTGCTTACACACCGGCTTCAGCTCAATTTCAACAAACTTATCTCTGAGTAACCAAGAAGTGAAGTGAAGCATGTAAGAGGAGAAATTGGAAGAAAAGGGGGGAAGAGCCAAAAGGGGAAGATTTGCAGTAGTGTTAAGACGAGAGTAGGGGTTAAATGTTAGAGAAAATCTGGTAGTATTATTATACACAATAAGTTAGTAAACAAAGAGGCTATTGATGAGCCACATCACTTACTTGAGAGTGAGTTTTGTGTTGCAGGTGGAGCATGAGAAACAGCTGACACACCAGGCCTTGTTGAGAGCAGACACCACTGAGAAGAAAAAAGGAAAATATGAACATTCAACTCAACATTTTATGTCAATTACTAAATACGCTTGTTCTAAATGTGAGCTTGATTATGTTGAGACTCACCATCGCCTTCAATCACACGGTTGCAGTGATAGCACACATCGCCGAAGAGCTGGATAACAGAGAAACAAGGAGAGTGGGTTTCTGTACAACATTAGGATGTCCGTCATGTCCTCCAAAGTGCACTTGTGTTCCTTACCTGATTATAATGAGTCTCACAGTAAGCCAACCCCTTCCTCTCATAATGCCGATGACCGAGGAAAGGCTTCTCACACTTGGCACACACGAAATGCTGTAAACAAAAACAAATGTTGCTGAGGGAGAGGGGGAAACTTCTAATGAAGGCATGAGAAACTGACTAGAGGAGCAGTTGCCTATACAACATGAATAATACATGAGCCTCATGTGAATATGTTTATTTACTGAGTTTTTTTTGTAAGTTATAGACTTGATCTATTGGGAAATATTACTGTTGTATCCTGAAGTGTTGCCAAAAAAGAATTCATTATTAAATTGGCTCTCATTCGCTGATGATAGTCTGTAGAACAGTAAAAAATTCAGCAACCTCGACACATTAACACTCAACTTATTCTGCCTCAGGAGAACGTATCTCTTTAAAAGTGCTCACATTTCTCCTACTGCCTATAATGATCTCATTAACAATGTTTTGGTTTCTTTAATTGATTATGCATAGGTAATTTTACTGAATGTAAAGTTCATCCGAGTGAAGTCTAAACATACAATACATCAACCACAGAAAGGGGCAACCATTACATGTTGTCACTTTTATCAACCAAAGTCAGAAGTCTTACTGACCATACTCCATTTAGTCAAACTTTTAATGTGCAGAAGAATTTAACAGAAACACTTCCATTACCAAATGGCATTCATTTTGTTATATTCTTAATTAGATTTAATGGCCCCTATTGTGTACCTCTGTCTGGGTTTGACACATTAAGGTGGCAATTCAATTTACTTTAATAGGATGAGCAAACTCCTAATGTAATCCCATCGAAACAACAAACAACAACATGGTATTGATTACTTTGAAACACACACAATTGTTATGTCGTATTGAGTGTATTATACAAACCTCCACATGCCACTGCTTGCCCATAGCGTTGACCACACGGCCCTCGATGGGTCTCCTACAGGCACCACAGATTGGGACACCCATCTTGTCGTGGCAGGGCAAACAGTAGAGCTCTCCCTTCAGCTCCCTGGCTTCGACTGTCAATTCCTTCCTGTGTACACACAAATATTAAAACACATTAAAGGTCATTGTTATGTGGTTATATATTCTGGAGAGTGTACCGTGTTATGCGCTTAATAATAGTTTGGCTTGGGAAGACTGACCCACAATTGCTGCAGTTGAAGTGGTCTGGGTGATAGGGGTCGTTCTTAAAGATCAGCGGCTGCTCTTCAATGATGGCGTGGCACTTCTGGCAGATGTACTTGCCCAGGCCCCGAGCTTTCTCGCGGTTATGGCACGGGCGACAAAGGTGCCTGAGGTAAATGAAGGAGAACAAAATGTTAGGTGTGCAACATACTCTGCCACAGCTCCTTAAAAGTTCAATACTTCAATACAAATTGGGAGTCAGCAGGTTGAGGTGTGTGTAACCTGCCTGATTCCCAGGCTGCCGATGTGTTATATAAAGAATGGAATAAGATAAGACACGTACCTGCCAGCATTTTTGACAAACCCCACGTCTGCAAGCACAGCCTGGCAAATGTCACAGCAGAAGCAGTCTGGGTGCCAACTATTGTTCATGGCCTTAATGACACGACCAATGATGAACTCCCCTGAGGGAAACCATAAGTGAGAGAGCAATTTGAGTCCAAGTTTGACTTTTTCAACATTTATTGAAACTGAATGACATTTTCTAGGTAGTGTACAGTAGTTCATAATGAGCTCCATTTTGGAGTCCTGCAGTTTCTACAATGCTCTGCAGTGTTTTTATCGGGTTCTCAGAGTGACACTTTGATTTTAAATGCATTTTAATTGTCCATTTACATTAATTACAGCATGTTTGTCTCTCCCTGGACACAGTCCACTAGTATTTAAATTAAGCTTACAGAGCACTAAAATGCATCATGGGTAATCTAAACACAAGTGGGAAGTTCTAAATAAGAGTATGATTAGACTTAAAGATCAGTGAGGAATGCTGGGATCTGAACTCTCTAACAAGGTCAGGGATGCTAACATGGACATATGTACCGTACTGCAGTGCACCAAAAAAGAAAGAGGTGCAAGGAACTCTGTACAATACACAACATCTTCACTTCAGGCACAAGAGATGTATTCTAGTACCATGTAAAGCCCTATTACATCTGAATACAATAGACTTTATTATTTACACAAAATGTGGGATTCGCACACCCCCACAAATACTAAATATGGGCATGCCTTAAATGAATGAGGGCCTATAACACTCACCACATTGGTGACAGCAAGGCGCAAAGAGCATCTGGAAGTCATGTTCACAATATTTTCTTCCTTCAAACTGTGAAAAGAAAAATATTGAAATCCCTTAACTCAAGAGAAATACAGGAGGAGTATGTTTTATCATTGTGTTGATTTGTGAAATGATTTACAATGTTTATTTGAGTGCAATACCTCATAGAAAAGTCCTTCAGGGAACTGCTGAAAACACTGGGCACACACAAAGCACTGCTCGTGGTACAGCTCTCCATTACTATTCACAATCTTCTCAGTGGCAGCAAAGCCGCTCTTACAGCGCTCACAGGCCGCACTGGCCAGGGCATTAGCAATGCTGTTGCATGAGACAAGAAAATACATATTAATACATTATGTCCCCCGTGAACCGTTGGGCTGACAAATAACTGGGATGCAAGGCGGACCAATGTTTATCATTTCTCACATATCTCCTACAACTGTTGAGCTTGTTTCAGCAGTTGTCACCATGGAGAGTGGAAAATAATTTGTGAATCAGTGGGGGAACTCACTACTCACAGTGCCGCCAGAGCCTAATTTGGTAAAGGAGTAGAGGTACTGAAACAGAGCTGACAGACGATGGGCAGCCTTTCCTCCACACACACACAATTACTAATAAATAGACACCACAATCTGATTTTGTGTTTTCAATTTACAGTTTAATGCTATGCCACATCTTACAACTTTCTCAGAGTAGTTTGGTAATAACCGAAACTGTTTAAATCAAGTTGTAAAAAATGAAAGTACAGTAGCTCACGAGCCAAGGTATTGAATGTTAGTTTCTGTAATTTCTAAATAAAGATAGTAATTAAAAACGTAATAATAATTATAAACTGTAGTTGTACATAACCTTTGAAAACATAGGGATTTACATGGTTAAAACAAGAATAAAACGACACTTAAAGTAAACAAAACAAAAACAATAGTAATGTAAAAACAGAGGCAAAAACACGAACAAGATAAGATGATATCAATGGAATAATTTGCTATATTTTAGTAACTTTAAATGAACAATTGTCGGACCGAATTGTCTTATTATTCAGACCTGAAAAGTCAGACCTTTCTGATCAGGGACGGTGAGTCCTAATAATTCCCATCATGTTGAAAAACATTAAAACGCTAGCTAGCATGCTAATCATAAATGCCAATCAGGGGAGGAACCCTACCACAGTTATTTTTGCCAAATATTATTTAATAAACTATAACGCATCATTATGTCAGAAATGAAACAACTTTCAAACTGTAACCCTGAATCGAAATTATAAATTAATAATAACTTATGTGTTGTCGCTTAAAAAGAGGTGAGCTAACTTTACCCCAATGGTTATGTTGGCAAGCTAGTTTCTAGGTAAAGCTAGCGGTTGTGTAGGTCTGCTACAAGCTAACGTTAGCCAAGCTAATGAAAGATCTTACCTGCCCGTCATCCCAGCAACACCAAGCATCACCTCTCAGCACGACAGTCTTAGGAAGGTAGCTCAAAAACTGACATGTGTTTGTGTGCCTATTCCTTTCACTGAGTTGTTAAAAGTTTTTAAGTGAAAGCAGGATGGTGTGGAGCCGTGTCTTCCCCTCTTAGCAGAGAACTGTAGCTTCTGGACACACACTGGGGGAGTGTCCAGAGGTGGGAGAAGTACAGAGTGTATGAATACTCTGTTACAAGTAAAAGTCCTGCATTCAAAAGGTTCTCAATGAAAAGAACAAACGTATCAAAATATACTTGAAGTAGGCTACCAAAAGTAAAAGTAGCCTACTTCTTGTGCAAATTGACCCATTTCAGAATTACTGAAATGGAACAATTTGCATGATATGTATACTTTATACAAATGATAAATACACCCTCACCCACCCAAATCACTTACTCTGTTGCAGTGCTTCCAAATTCACTTCACCCATTAAACATGTTCAAAGAAATATGCTTTTCTGAGACCAAACTTTGACATTTTTAAATTGTTTTTCTCTTTTAAGCCAGTAAAAGCAGAAGCAACTTTGCTTTTTACATAACTGAAACCATTGACCATTGATTTTAATGCTGTAGTTCATTAAGGCTCCTTATACAGTTTCCATGCAGTAATACAATTCTGCGGTAGCGGTTCGGCTTAATCGGATGGCTAAGTTACTTATAATGATGATTTAACTTAGGTAATGTAAAATTCAAAATGAATTTGAGCATAGCTGAAGACAAAAGATACACACAGATGGAGTGTTGAACTATGGGCCCCTATTAGAGAGAGAGAGAGAGAGAGAGAGAGAGAGAGAGAGAGAGAGAGAGACCAGATGTGTATTTGAAATTGTACCGTTTGTTATTATCACTATTTTGTTTTTCTTTTCTCTGATAACAGATGACACAGAAATTCAACATTAAAGCTCATTCCTCTTCTTCTTCTACTGTACTTCTTCTTCTCCTTCTGGAAGACTTGTGCATCCGGCTGCTTCGTCCAGCTCAGTTGGATGTTGTCATCCACTTCTTGGTCCCGTAGATTATTTTTCATCTGAGTGACAAAACTCCTCATCATTATCATTCACTGTGTGCTGTGTGCATGTATGTGTGACAATTAAAGAGGGTTTCATCCTCCGATTCTATCTTTTTATGTGACATGCACAACTCAAAAATCTCCATCCCTTTTCTTTGGCTATATAAGATTTTGATATTTACAATGTAAATAGGAATATAGGCCAGGCAAGGAGAAACATGGCTAGTGCACATTACACACACAAATATTTTCAAAACAGTTACTGTCTTGAGTTGTGTCCATATCAAATCTGCTTTATTTTTCAAAATAATATGCAGTGACTCAGAAACATAAGACATCAAATAGAGGCATGGTGATGATGAAAGGAGGCAGAAAGACACGTGGAGGCCAACAAACCTGTTTATGTCATCGGGTTTCTTGCAGCCATTATGTCCGCAACCCAAATTCTTCAACACCTCCCAGTGGATATCATCCAGCCCGTAGCGATGATCAGGAAGCAGTACCTCCTCCATGATGGATAGCTGTACTGGTCTTTCACCATTCATCTAGACAAACTCCATAATTGGACTGCAGGACACCTTGCTCTCTCCCAAGCCAATGCGTGCAGCGTTGGGCAAAGTAGATGATCTCCTTGTCCAGGGGTCACAGCCTGTTGAAGCACAGCCAGGTGACCACAACATGACCCAGCATCTTTACTGATGCATCAGCCGAAGTACAGATGCGTAGATTTGTTTATTGATAGAGAAAACATTAATTAGGAGACTACAGATCTACGCAGCCTGGCTGAGAAAAAATAAATTTGGACAATGCTGTTCTAACTCCCTGTAGCTTTTGGACTAGATGCCTTTATTGTCTTATTGTAACAATTAGGAGTGATTAATTAATTGGTGTTTTGCCCTAAAATGTCTATAATTATATATCAATGTCACCTCCTATCTACATTTATGTCATCCAGTCACTTCTGCCCAATTAACTAATTGACTGCTAATAAATGTGTTTTATTCCAACATTCCCTCTCAAATTTGGCCTCCTGTTACTAACAAGATCCCAAGGGAAATTGCTTGCCGTTCCAGGGATGTAAAAGGTTTTGCACCAATGTCTGCTATAATTGTCCTTGATAAATCATATTCCCAACAATAATTAGTCATTCATTATGAATCATTATTAATCATAGTCTCCTTAATAGCTATCACTTCTTCCATTTGTCAGTACTTGCATGTGAAACATGTTGAGGGATATAAATGAAACAGAAAAACTTATTTCACATCAGCTCTAGTGATCAAAAGTCCACAAGGCACCTCCAGATTTAGACACATGAATTAAAAACATACTTCAAATGTGAAGCCATACCACTTTGTTTATTATTTGTCTTCCAAGATTAACCGTCCCAAGAAATTAGGGTATCCCTATAACAGATGTCAGTTTGGTTTCATTTAGTTTCTAATAGCCCAACACCCAACCTAACTTATTGGTTCATTAAAAAGAAAGGCTTTATGAGGTTTGGCCCCTCTTTTTAAAGTACTATCCATTAAGAAGGCCTGAAATGTTAATGTTTAGTGTTGTAAATGTCTTGACTTTTATTTTATGTTAGCTTTTCTGAAGTTTATTGTCACATTTTGATCAGGTCGGTTGCTCCAAACAACCAGCCACTGATCACACAATGCGGCGACAGGCCTGGTGTGTGTGTGTGTGTGTGTGTGTGTGTGTGTGTGTGTGTGTGTGTGTGTGTGTGTGTGTGTGTGTGTGTGTGTGTGTGTGTGTGTGTGTGTTTGTGTGATCAGTGCTTTTTACACATTATGTCATCGTAAATGATGTGTAAGGTCAGAGAAGCTCATGTGAGCACTTGGCCACAATAATAAGGCAAATGTTGGTCAAACTAAGATTATAACTTACAAAATGTAATGTATAAATTGTGTCAGCAGGTCACTGTTAAGATAAGAAAGTGGCTAAGCTTGCCTGCAAATAAAGATGGTAAATTAAATAATAATTTGGCTGAGGCTTACCTTGGGCAGACACATGATGCTGGGCCTGGCTGTGGAGATGAGCCCCAATATATTCAGAGAACAGTTCACCAGCTGTGAGATGTTGCACGCTGCCTCTGCCGACTCTCTGCTGCTGTCCAACAGGGCAGCATGAAGAAAGAAAACAAAAAACGAAAAGTATTTAACTCAAACTGAACATTCAGAAGAATTCACTTAACTGCACTTTCTTTTTTTATCACTTTACCCCCCATCTCCTCCTCATCATTAGTTCATACCTTGAAGCTGACATACTGCAGGTGGTTGCCGTGCTTTTTTATTCTCTGTTGGATGAAGTCAGAGCCTGTGGCCTTCAGGTAGGAGCTGGCTGGTTCAACTCTAACTCAAAGCAGCACCACAGCGGCAGAAAAAAAAATGTCAAGCCCCAGCACACCATTACTAATGCCAAGAATAAATAATAAAAATAGGAAAATAAATCCAACTTACAAATTAAAAACTGACTTAACAAAAGACAAGCGCTGTTTATATTATAAGAATATCTTATACCAATATAAATGTTTCTCAATTTTCAAACAGCTAACATCCGCAGCAAATCTAACCTCAACTGAATGGTAAGTATTTACCATGATCAACATTAAGCCATACTTTATTCATATTAAGCAATATTTACCACAATAGGACTTTTGCATGAATGTAGCCTGAGGGAAGTGGCCTTCACCGCAGCATAAGTGTGAGGAATAAAATACTTGTTGTTTGTGTGTTTATCCCTTGCTGAATCCTTTTTAAGAGTCAAGCTGTGGAAACAAGCTGTGTCTGTCTGCTGTTTGTGCTGAGCATAAAGTGTTCAACAGGGAATTAGAGCTTTTTTGCCGAAAACAATTTCATGAAAGCAGTGGGACTTGTAAGATTGAATGCAAACATTAAAATTGTGGGCTAAAAAGCAAAACAATGATTTGCATATTGCTATTGAGGGAAGCTGCAAAATCATGTAACATTTTCTGTATGTTCATCACTGGGTTCACATTGCAGCGTTTTCATTTGTTTGTCATCATAAAAAAAACATTACCTGCAGCTGCTTTGGCAATGATTAAAACTATACAAAACCCAAAGTTAGAATTACTTTACACAGCACATGACTGCTTTTTGTACTGATAATATGGTGGGGTTTCTATAATGCAGCAATATTGGCAATGCGTTGATGCAACCTTTAAAAGAGGGCAAATCAGAACACACAGAAAAATCATGAGACTCATGGATTATGCCTCTGCACATGCTTCATCTTCTGAGACGGCTGAAAGTATGATATGAAACTACAGGTGGTGAATAAAACAACATCAAACAACAACCAAATAAGTAGCTACTGCTGCCTTTGCAGTGACAATTACATTGGTACCTAAGAAGCGTAAGCACCGTCCAGCAGAGGCAGTGGGGGGAGATGTGGAGCAGGACCTCCTGAGGCAGAGAACCCCAGTATCTGCCTTCATCCTGAGTAAACAGAGGAGATGTTAACGTGTGTTTTGTTCTTATGTTTGTTCCTTTCGGGACTCTACGTTGTCTGTGTTTTGTTTTGATGTGAAGCTTAATTTCTGCCTCATGTTGTTATTGTATTCATGTTTCTGTGGTCTTCATTTTAACTTTTGTTCTTTCTTGTGAAGCACTTTGGGAATTTTATTTCTGTGAAAGGTGCTATACTTAATAAATGTATCATTATTATTATTATTATTATTATTATTATCATCATCATTATTATTATTATTATTATTATTATTATTATTGTTATTATTATTATCCTCATTATTATGTATTAACAAAATCCAGATGAATGGGCATTTCACTCAAGAAACTCTTGAAAGGCAGTGCTATTTAAATGTTATAAATATTCTCCCATTGATCCTATTATTCACAAGCTTGCAGTCCATGTCTTGTAGGCTGATGAATTGTGACTTATATTGAATATATATTTTTGAAATTATTCACGGTTGTAGCTCTTCAATTACTATCATTACCCGTTAATAATTAATATGAATTATGTATGAATCAATTTCTTAGCACATAACATATAAAATAATGAAATTAATTAAATGCACAATGATGTGAAACAGAGTAAATCACATTTGTGAAGCTGCTATCAATAATTATTTTTTTTGAAGGATTTCTTTATTACAAATGTACAGATTTTTACAGATTCTTTATATTATCAAGACTAATTATTAATTTGTTTGCCTCAAAGGGTTGTAGGATGAAAAACCCACTTTTTAAAGGGGACTACGTTTCAGTACCTATTCATATTAAGCACTTATTAATCATATAATATTCTTGTGTGACACACAATTCATCAACATGAACATTCCCAAAAATAATTCAGATTTCGGATTCCTCCCCAATGGTGGCTGAAAGCCAAACCGCTCCACAACTCTGCTTCAGTAAATTGCCTGTCCATTTGTATTTATTTTTTTGTATTGACCGCTTATGTTATATCCTTAAAGTAGTACTACTGCCATCTTCTGGAGTTAATGCCTATTGAAGGGAAGTGTTGTTGAAAGTAGTATATGGTGAAATGGGAATTGTTCAACTTGAAACCACAGGGGGTACAAACGTATATGTGGCTGTTTTCACAAGGATCGCAGCATTCTTGTATAGTACTGATGTTTCTGTTTGATACTCTTAATTGTCCCTTTTTTGACATTTGCTTTTGTTGCAACTAGGGCTGGGCACATTTTGCCCAAATGCTTGAATATCAATAATGTAGGGTTGGTCATTAACGCATTCACAAAATATGTACACAATGAGGAGTCATCAGTAATGTAAATATAATAACCAAGGTGGAAAGGCAAGTAATAGAACAGCGAGAACAATATAGTACATTTAAAAAAGACTGTATTTTACAGTGATACCACATTTTAACCAGGAGAGAACCAGTTACGATATTCAAAATCTAACATGATATTAAGTCACACATAATTTAAACATAATTATATTTGTATATATATGTATATATATATATATATATATACATATATATACAAATATAATATAGACATATATATATATATATAGTTGATTTGAACACCAAATACTGTATATTACTTAAAGATTGTATACTATCCTTGTACTGTGTAGCACCTGAATAGGAATGATTTTTGTTTTAAACTGCTTGATAAATATAAGCAGCTGATCACTTTCACCTTTATCACTCAAATGTTTCCAGTATTTAGACTTAGAAAGATCCCTTTAAAGTCAATCAAATATATAGTGCAATATCCTCTTAAAAGAAAAAGTAGATATTTTTTATATTAAGGGTGCAAGATTAAATAATGAAGATGTTTATTCTAAAAACTGAGCACATACATTGGAAAAAACAAGTGCATAATGTTGGCTGTTTTACAGCAAATCAAGGACATAAGGACATAAAGATAAAAATGCTCATCTTCTCCATCAAACATAAGAAATAGACAACATGATATTAAAGACTTAGAAAATAGCAACATTTATGGAAATATTAAAATATTTCTAAAGATAAAAAAAATGTCTTACTTTTTATAAATAAACACATTTTAAGAAAGCCTGTTATATTGAATGTACTGTCAGATCTTAATGTACTTTTAAAAGGTGCCCTGTGGACTTTTCTTGTTCACGTTTATTTTAACAGTGTTAATCAGTATTCATGGGGGTTAACAGACATCTATAATGCATTTCCTTCCTCAGAAAACATTTTGAAAATTGTGTAAAACATTCATTTTAGATCCGTATTAAGCCTGCTGTCTCTTTATTTATTTTCCCAATGTGCCTTCACTTGAGTGTAAATGTTAGCTGTAGATCAGGATAATATTGTGAAACAATTGGCTAGAATGTGTGCCCCGATGCGTGCATGAGAGACAAGGAAACTGGGACCGATACAAAAATATATATTTAGTTTCATATTATAAACAGTAGTCAAAAACTCAACCAGGAACATTTAAACACAGCAAAAGGACAAGGAGTAAACAGCAGTGTATTTTGGAAATTCAATTCTATATGAAAATGAACATCAGGCGCTTTATCATCGAACTTTCTTCAGATATTTGCTTGAATGTTAAAGCTACTTTGACATTAAAGCCATTCAGTACATCAGTCAGACATAGTCGAAGCCACTCAGTGAAATCTGTTTGAGGATAAGGCCACGAGGTGGAGGTGTTGATTTTAAATCCCATGGTAAAGGAGATCAAATTTGGGAATATTTTGAGGATCTATGGGACTCTGGACAATCATCTTTCCACGCATGGCTCCTCTGTAAATGACCTCTATCAGATCCATGAAATCGTGTTTGGTCTTGAAGCTGCCAATAAACTTGGTGTGATCTGGGGAGCTGAAAGAGAACATAAAGTCAAACGTACTCTTTTCATTTACAATGAATGGCATATGTTGTAGCTAAGGTAGGTGTGTGTATATATATATATATATATATATATATATATGCAAAAGCTGGCTTCTCAAAAGTAAATATTCGCTACTTTTATTTAGTTTCATAGCTTGAGCTGTGGACTTTTGCCTCCCGGGACCTGTGAAGCACTTTTATTTACAAAACTAAAACATGACGGTACATATTAAGTTAAGATAAGGCTCTGTACATTTGTTGGGTGATTATATTTGTTGATGTTATGGAATTTTCCTAAATGTATGCAGTATGTTTTTTCTATGGTTGTATTTGTAAATGTGTCAATGACTATACATGAATTTGAGCATGTGTAAAAAGTAAACACCATTTGTTGGCAATCAATCATGCAGGCTATAGATATATTTATATATTTTATTTATTTATTCTGCATCTAATGTATCAGTGTTTAACTGAGAGCACGAATGCTAAACTCAAAGTATAACTTTTACACAATCCCTCATTATGAAACATTAAGCATATTAGTTGATGATGAAAATCCTGAATGATCGCCCCATTTTGAAACTTTCTGAGAAGAAGAATCGTATGTCTTCAGATAATTATAACCTAATAGTTCCCTTCTTTCACTTACCCATAATCCACTTTCATGTGCTGTCCGTTGAAAAAGAAAACAGTGGAGGGGATGTAACTGATGTCAAAGTATCTTGTGTAGATAGGCACTTTATCCACATCCACGATGTAGATGGACGCCATGTTACTCAGGTCATGGGCAGTTTTTGACAGCTAGGATGGTAAGAAATTGACAAATTAGAACAAACAATCATGACACCAAACCATAACACCCGTTTAAAAATAAAGTTATCTTGTTTACAATCTCGTCAATATGGAGGCAAATCGAGTCCTCATCTCTGCCGAACCTCAGTACTACGACTTTTTCTGCTACCCCTTTAATAACTTCATCAATGTCTTTTTTGCAAGTTAATTTAGGCAAAAACAAACTCATTTTCAAGGCTTAAATGCAAGCTATCCCTGCTGTGCCGAAAAGAGGAAATTACGTCATTGTTACTGTACGATTCGGAAATAAATCCGACTAGAAATAGCATAGAAATTGCGTTAGATATTTGTTATTGTATTATAATTTATATCAACCTTTCCTAAATAATTAAAATAAAGTAAAATTGTATTAATTTGAAGATCTTGTTTTGGCCCAGCTTAAAACGTTAAAGATAAGACGAGCTAAATCGTGCGTTCATGTCATGTGCTGGCGTTTCACTACGACACATTATAGTGTGACACCGTCTATACAACGTGACCTTCTCTTAATGTTTGAGAAGCACTAACGCTGCGACATAAGTTTGGGAATATTAAAGAGTTAAGATGCAGATTTGGCTTTCATTTGTATGAAAGTGGAAATTACAGGGTTCCGTTTTTCAAACACGTTTTTGTTCCGTGAAGACACAGCGTCTGTATTTCTTGGTTTCCGTACTTTTGACAGCGCGATGTTGCGGCTCTTTGCTAACCAGGGTTTTTATGAACTCTGGAAAGCAAGTCATTTTGCGGCAGCGTGTGTGACCAAGAGGCAAGTCACACGTTTCCTCCCAGTCAGCAGCACCTCTCACCCCCGGCTACACATCGCTGCTCGCCCCTTCAACACTGGGATCCCGGGGAGGAAAGACGCCCTCCAGACAAAAGAAGATATTCCCGAGGACACAAAGACACTAGATCTGGATAAATGGAAATCTGTCATGAGAGCCCAAGCATCAGAAGAAAAACAAGTCAGTGATAAAGAGGAAGCATGTGACGATAATGACGATCTGACAGAACCAGGTGTAGATTCAAAGGATAATTCACTGGAAGCAACTCGGGATCTCGTTGTTATGTGGCGCCAGGCAGGCAAGCTTGTACCTGAAGAGATTACGGATGAAGAGGTCCAGGCCCTTGCAGAACTTACCTCCAAGGCCTCCAGGAAGAAGTACCTCAAGTTCCTGTCCATCAAAGAGGGCCACAAAAAGTTTCGCAAGGAGAAGCAACAGAAGAAGAAGGCAGAGAGGGAAGTCACAAGGGAGGAACTATTGCCAAAAGAAGATTTTGAGCTTGAAAACACATTTCTCCTCAAGTTGTGGAACAGCACCATAGACAAGCACCAGGCCTGGAGGAGCGCCCAGGCCATGAGGTTCGGTCAGCCACTGGTGTTTGACATGAGCTATGCCTCCATGATGGCCAGGCGGGAGTTGGAGAACACAGTGCATCAGCTGATGGAGGTTGAAGGTTGGAACCGGCGTGCCACTGAACCCTTCAACCTCCACTTGTGCAACCTACAGGCAGACGGGACCTATCAAAAGGAGCTGCTCAAACAATATGGTGCAGATGCTTGGGATCGCTTGCTCATCAACAGTTCTGACAAACATTACATTGATCTTTTTCCCCGTGAACAACTGGTATACCTTACTGCAGACTCCCCCAATATTCTCCACACATTTGACCACTCAAAGGTCTACATCATTGGAGCTCTGGTGGACCGGTCCATCCAGTCAGGCTTGTCTTTGGCCAATGCCAAGCGTCTGAATCTGGCCACAGCTCGTCTACCACTGGATCAGTACCTTTACTGGGAGATAGGAGCCAAAAATCTAACTCTGGACCAGATGATCCGCATCATGCTCTCAATTAAGGAGGCTGGGAAATGGGAGGAGGCGTTGAAGTTCGTACCTAAGAGGAAGTATGATGGCTTCCATCATGAAAGGACACAGCAAGAGATTCCCAAAAACCGAGTAAAGGGAAATTATAGACCAAGACAGGATGGTGAAAGGCCGTTTAGGTCTGGTGAAAGAAATGGTGAAAGGACATTTCAAAGTGAGGGCCAAAGTCTTTACAAGACCCATAAAGAGTCTGGATTCAGTGGTAGAGACAGAATGGCTGGAGTGCCAAGTGACAGAGAAAAGATCTCCCAGCCATCTGCAACAAGAGTACGAACATCATTTAAAAGCAACATAGATGGAAGAAGAAATGATGGCAAAGGAAAGGTGTGGTGGAATGATGAGTGAATTCAAACTTGGGATAATAATGATACATTTACACGCACTGTCTGAGGAAATGTCAAGCATAGACGATTGGTGATTAAAGAGTTGTAATAGGTAGTCATTTGTTCTTACAGAATGCATGTTTTACTGATTTCTGATGTAAACAAGACATTTAAAAAGAGGTGCAAACATTTTTGATCTGATATGGAAAATGAAAAAGATGTATAAATGTTTTCTGGTATTGTTTTCACTGTAAAGTATACACTATCAATGCAAACTGTTCAATACAAATGAAATAAACCAAAGCATGTCACAGCTCTGTTTGAGAAAGTCAAAAAGCCATGTGCAGTTTATTACGATCATTCATTTCAGACTATTGTATTCCAAAGCAACAGCAAACGTATGAATCAGTTTTTAAACTATGCATTACAAAATGCCATGATTCATCAAAACACATTAACAATCATTTAAAAAGTTGTTGGAATTTAAGATTTAGTTTTTCTCTTTTAAACTCTTTGCAAATAAGTGGACTCGCTTGTATGTACAATAAGTCTATTGTAGTACCGTCAAACAACTTCCAAAGGATTTGATATATATACAAAGGCCTTTGCAACATGCATTATACTAAATATATAATGGCATGTCATAATGCAAAATTAGGGCCACCCCCTGCAGTGTAAGAGGCATCATCACCTATTCTTTTTTCATTTGAAAAAGGTACAAATGAGCTAATTTACGGTTTGTTAGCTTGCCCAAGGGTGTTTCCACAACATGATGTCTTGTTTGCTCTATTGCACATTGACTATTTAAAGTAATGGATAAATACAATTTAAAACATAGTAGTATAATGTTCAAGTTTGGATAAGCAGACACCCTAACAGCGTCTGTTCACCATGTAACACTGACTCCTCTTGACCTCACATCCCAGCAATAAATACAACTCAATAGTTTAAACCAGGATGCACGGCTCTGAAATGCATTCATCATCACTTTCACATCATGATCCCTGAAAAAAACAAAAACCTTTTCAAGTTGACGAGAGCAACAAAACAGCAGGTTGTTTTATAACAAAGCTGATATGGGTAGAAGGACTGAAAGAGAGAAAGGTAACCTCTGGTGCTGAATAAAGTCACTCCATACATGTTCGCCAGAGTACAGTCCTGTTAAGATCTGTCATTTGAAATGAACATTGTCCCATTGGGATGTGTTGCCGTATCCCGATGTCCTCGACAGCACCAGAATGTCTCGTTGTCCTCACAGCACCAGAATGTCTCCAGTGCAACGCTCGCAGCAGTTAAAGGTAATATTCTCATAGCGAGTGTAGGGGTGAAACCTGCCGATGCTCTTCTTATTGCTCAGAAAGCCAGAGGAAGTGTCACAAAGCGGGGGGTCAGCATTGTTTTCTGTACAGGAAATTGGATCTAAACTCTTCAGCACCTAAAATACAAAACAGAAAATGTTTTAAGCACTGGACAAATGTTAGATCATTGTAATTTTTGTAGAAAGATGTGGAATTTGTACCTTCTCTGCCATCTTTTCAGCCGGAGTGCTGCATAGCTGCTCAGCGGCTGCACTGCTGCTGGTTGTTGTTGTTGTTGTTGTTGTGGTGGTGTTGCCTAGCAGGTGGGAGTTGATGGCGTCTGCTAGCTTGTGATTGGCTGCTGACAGCTCTCCTGTGCTGAGGGGCTGTGCACTGGGGTAGTATGTCTGCTGACGTCCCCACTGCAGAGACACGAGGAGCTGCTCCAGAGATCTGACCACAGGAAAGCAACACAAACTCTCTGTTAGTCAAATATTTCAGGAGGTGCACAAACTCTTAAAAGGGTCTTTATCTGTTTTCAGTTGTGCCTGATTGGCAGCCTAGGTTGATGCACAAACCATCAGTGGCTAAGCTGTGACCTTTGAACCTTATCTGTAAAAGATTATTTTAATGTTTAACGGCTATCTATAAATGTTTTATACTATGGCTCATCCATTCTTATGCAGTGAGATAAATTGTACATGCAGGATCCTTGCTTTGTTAAAAGTTACTTTAGAGTACATGGCTAATCAAAAAGAACTATACCCATGTCCAAAAAGCAAAAACCATGTGTGTCTATATACAGCTAGTAGAGCTAACACTTGCACAAATGCACCAAAGAGTGGACACCTAAAACAAAAAGTGCTTACAATCTTTAAGTAAAATCCTTAAGTGGAGCTAGAACTTTATTTAATCTTTATCTTTTAGGTGGATTAAAGGTCACAATAGAGCAACGTCGAATTGAAAAGAGTTCAAGCATTCGTCTTTATCTAATCTCCATCTGTATTGCAAACTATTATTATCAAATATGTGCTTCATTTTGTTGTTAACGGTATACTGTATGTTACCTGTGAGTGAGCACCATGTTTCTGGAGAAGTCTTCTCTCTCCATCAGCAGGTCCTGAATGGCTCCTTGTGCTTCTCTGCTCTGCCTCTGCAGAGTGGCTCTGGCATTCGTCAGCTCATCGGCCATGACTCTGAAGTGACAACAAGTGTTTATTCACCATGATAACGGTATTGCTGTGAAGAACAATCTTTTTTTTAAATCGTATTTGTAAAAAAAAAAATGATGAAATGTTGTTTTTTCCAACCATTTAAATGTGTCACACAATTATTTGGTCTGTTATTCATACCTGCTAGCCAGGAACTTGCTCCTCCAAACGTCACACTGGATGCTCATTCGCTCCAGCTGCTCTGCGGTGTGTGCATGACATCGCCCCAGAGCCTCGTTCTCCAGGATCAGCTGGTTCTTCTCCCGCGACAGGCGCTCAAAGTGGTACTGTAGGTCATCACCGACCGATGCAACCAGCAGTTTCTTCAGCTCACGGTTCACCTAGCACACGGAATGAAAAAGGTTTACCAAATTCATCTTACAACTGAATGAAAAAAGGCCTTTACTTTCACCTGAAGGAAAAACCAAACAGTATCTGCTTCCTGAGGGGTCTCACCTCTGTCTGCACTCGGAGCTGATTGGAGAGGCCTTCCTTGTCCTGCAGTAGCCGTCGTTCAGAGTTCTGCAGCTTCTCCATCTGTTTTCTCCAGTCATCCACAAGAGGCTGCGGGGGCGAGCCCTGCTCTTCAGCCTGTTGCCACGCCTCCCCTTTGCCCTCAGCAGGTTTTGTTCGGATGCGCCGGCTAATAGCTGCACGTGGGACGATGATCCTCACAGCCTCCACCTCTGTGCAGGCCTCTCGACTCACTTTGCCCAGGTGGAGCACTCCGAGAGGCTCAGGGGGAGCAGGACGGGTAGCTTTTGGGCTGTGCTTAGGGTTAGATGCCTTCAGGAGGGGAACAGCAGATGGACCAGGTGGTAGTGTATCTGTGATAACCTCGAGGATAGTGGTTAGCGCTTTCTCAGTTTCCATGCCATCGCCAGCGCTTCGAATAGGCCCTCTAGAGCCTGCAATAAAGGAGAAAAGAGTTTACATCTTAAACTTTACTGTGTACTAAGATAACATCAGAAGCAAACCACTTTAAAAGCAGGAGTGAAGGATTTAATAAAACACAATTTGTATTGCACAATTTAACATTTAGGTGTCAAAAGACGCTAAGGAATAGCCTCCACTCCCCTCACCAGCAGCATGTTGGAGTGCTGAAACTTGATTTTTTTTTTTTTACCCAATAAAATGTGAAAAAGCACTTGCGTCCAATTCAAAAATGTGTATCCCCCTTGTGCAGTTTAGTTAAACAATGCTGCATATATTGGGTCACATGACAAGAAACTGCCCCATGTTCATAGCAATATTCATATAAATTAGAAGAAAAACGACAAGACTCATACAAACAAGAGGTGTGTCCCAGTTGTTCAGTGTAGTAATACAATTCTGAACCGAAATCTCCGTTTGTTGAAACCGACAACACAGGTATGATATGCAAGACTTGAACAAAAAAACAAACATACCTCTCACAGCAGCAGTCATGGTGGTGGCGGTTTTAATCAGGAACAAAAGTTGGTAGTTCAGATGAAACCAGGTGACTCCTCGTCCTGTGACAATAGACAAAGGAGTATGTAATTCGGTGTTTGTAGCCTTCTGTCTTTGTGAAAGCTATCAAAGAAGTTCGCTATCTAAAGGTCAGAGTCAACACATGGATGTATAATCTAAAGCTGAGACACTGATAACGTTAGATAACGTTAGATAACTGCAGCTTGTCTGGCTGGTAAGCTAACGTGCTTGCTAACGAAGCAGTTAACGGGAAGTTAAACAAACAGTAACGTAGCCGCTTTTTGATAAGCTGCCGGTTTGCTACCCAGACAGACACTTTCCACTAGCTCCATTTGATATAAGATTTGATGATAAGGGAGCATTTATAGATAGCATACCGAGTTACAATGGGTCCACCGTCCTCGATTAATTTACCCAGGCACCCCGAAAGCTGTTTTTTTTTGCCGTCACCGGACACAGTTGGCCGCTGAATAGTGAGAAGGGTAAATTTGCCCTATAATTAGTATTCCAGGCAACACTTCCTGCCAAGACACCCCTCCTTTTTTGCAAACTAAAGCCTCAACGGGTTACCTGTTCAAAACTGTTCACAGATAAGTACCTCAAGTTGTTATTGTAACCTGTATTTTCACAATATGTTCAACATGGACAAGTTATTGAAACAGCAGAATTTGACAAAAAAGCCTGACAAGCTAAACTCAGGAAATAAATACCCATGTAGTTCGTCCCGTACCCATCACGCAAGACTGATCTGCAGTCAGTTTGTATGTTGTTGTATCGGAAGTCTTATTGAACCAACTTTGTGTGAAACTGATATCAGATCAGAAAATGTATGCTGCCCTGAATGTAAAAGCGGATTGTAAACCGACATGTATAACGCGGAACGTTAATGTGGAGTCCATGATTGCTACACGGACAAAAAACAGTGTTACAACAAAACGTTAAAAAGTGCCCCTGTAGTGCACGTCTCTTTTTTATTGGTTTTGGAGTCGATACGAATATGCTTAAATTAGTCAGACACAGTTAAACTGATGCCGTGTGTTTCTTGATATTCACAGTATTTGAACTCCAGTTATCATGGGAGTGCATGGACTGTGGAAGCTGCTGGAGAGCACAGGGAAGCCCGTCAACCCTGAGACTCTGGAGGGAAAGGTCCTTGCTGTTGGTATCCTGTCCTGGCTGACATATATATATATTTATATTTTTCTCTCATTGTTTTGATAACTTTCCCTTATATTCCTGTCTGACGAAGGCTGTTATATTATATATATTATGATCTTGTTCATGTGGATCCGTGTGGAACTACCCCTCCTAGGGTCCACATTAGATACACACATTATACTCTTAAGTAATTAAAAATCCAGAGCAAAAAGGAAAAAAACTACAAAAAAATAAAATAAACAATATTTAAATAATCAATAAAACATTTGATACAGCTTAAAAATAATAGCACAACTGAAAAAGCCTATAGAAGGATTGATACAAATGTTTTACTCATTTGTAAAAGTGTATACTTGTGTTATACAACATTTGTGACGTGTGATGGTAAACCATTCCATATTTATTTCCTCTTACCATAACAGTACTTAGCCCTGCATTTATTTTACAGCAGCTGAAAAACGACCTCTTGTTGCATTTAAAATCATGTCTATTACTATTCTCTGAAAATTGATGTTACAAACCAACCGAGTTCTTACTCATTTTAATTGTTGTCTACAATTGTGGTCGAGTGCATCATGTAGCATTTACCTTAATCAGACTTCCTCATAGACATCAGTATATGGCTGAACCAGGCAGTGAAAGGAGTGAGGGACCGTGAAGGTAACAGTGTGCAGAACGCCCACCTCCTCACTCTCTTCCACCGCGTCTGTAAGCTGCTCTTCTTCCGCATCAGGCCCGTCTTTGTGTTTGATGGGGACGCACCGCTGCTGAAGAAACAGACTCTGGTACGTACAGTGCTCTCTGAAGAACCACATAAGCAGGCTTTGTTCATTATTTTAAATTATTCTCCCAAATGGATGAGATTCCCCCACATATTTTGTCATTTAACATAGCTGTGGCTTTCCTGCAGGCTTTGAGGAGGCAGAGGAAAGAGGAGCTGACCCGAGAGTCCAAACAGACGAATGATAAACTCCTCAAGACGTTCCTGAAGAGACAAGCTATCAAAGCTGCACTTGGAGACGCCAGGTAAGGGAGAGGTGGTTGTACAAGTGGAGGGATGGTTTTCTCTCGTTCTCTACTTAGCTGCTGTCTTAATAAATCCTTTATTTTATTATTATTATTCTTCACTATTATCTGTAAAGCGTCTTTGAGCACCTGTAAAAGCGCTAACAAATTAAATCTATTATTATTATTATTAAAAAAAACAAAAAAACAAGATAAATTGTCTACTCAGTTTGGAAATGTATTGAACTAGTTTTACTGTCGTTTTCACATCTGGATAATTATTGAAAAATGTACAGACAAAATATATGTTTCCAGACTGTTGCCCCTATTCTATTTTCTGAAATATATACTTCAGAGTTTTTAAAATGTCATTTGTCGTACAAGCAGACTGTTTTTAATGGCATGTGGAGCAGGCACTCAATCTGTCTGTGTATTTGTCTAGACTGGTGTGGGAACACAAATATGTTTTCCACATCATAAAGCCTGGTTGGCTAATGACTCTTTACAGGAAGAGAGAGCTAAACAGCCCCCCCCAGGCAACACTTGTAAACCATATGCAAGACACAAAGCAAGGTAGACTTGTCACAGCATCCGTTGCATGCTCCCATAGTAACCAGGTCAATTGTGGTCAAAAATATCTGCAGGGAAGTCTGGAAATGTTAGACGTAAGGAGTATGTGTTGGAACACAGTCTCTTTGTAGAGTCATTGTAACCTCAACTGGTTTTGTTTAAAGTACCCTTCTTTTTTTTCTTTCACAGTAAGGATCCTCTACCCAGCCTCTCCACTGTGAGGAGAGATGAAGTGGACGACATGTACGTTCTGCCAGCCCTGCCAGCTGCAGAGGAGAAAGACAAAAGCAGGTCAGAGGCCTCGGAAGGTTACTATTCACTCGGTCTTTTGGATACAGTTGTGAAGAATCCAATCAGAATATCTAAAGTGCACTCCTCAGTCTTTCATCCATTGTTTGCAGTTGTTCACGTGTGTTAGATAGGAGAGCCATGAGACGCACTTTGGATAGTACAGTCATTTCCCATATAAAACTGATACATTCCTTAAAGGTAGGGTAGGTAAGTTTGAGAAACCGGCTGGAGATACACTTTTTGTTATATTCCATGGAATGTTCTTAGACTGCCAAGGCACACNATTAGTAATAATTCAAATATTTTTTAAAGTAGTACTGTATGTTTATTTTATTTTTTTCTTCAAAAACAACTAAACAAAACGTAACGGGGGAGGGGGGGCGGGGGGTGGATGCAAGGATGACTTCCTAAGACTATACTGCATGTTTTGAAGATGTGTGGTAGTGAAATGTTATTTCTTGTACTGTAAATGCCTCAGTTTGTGAGCCTCGTATTTTTTAGCTAAATTAACGTTTGCAACTTTCCAAGGGAAATAGTTCAAAGGAATCCAAATGAAATGAACCCGTCAGCTGATTATTTACCATGAGAACACTTTGATGTAAAAATATCATTACTGAGTCAGCACATTGCTTGGGCTGTTTGTGAACAGGCAACAATATTTAGAAAGATTAAGAAAGGCTACTGACAAAATAGTTGCTTGGATGAGCATTTTTATTTTTGGGACACTTTTTCAAAGATTTTATTGAGTTTCATGAAGGGTAAAATTACAGTTCAGTGCCATTTACAGTAATTATATTTATTTTTTCTTAAGGATCATCAAGTATTCGAAACGTGTATAGTACATTTAAATCGGTCAAATACCAAAAATATTTTGGCAAAATCTGTTCTGCCTCTGGAATGCAATCTTTCTGTCTATACATCACAAGGACTTCCACAACATAAACATACAGTTAATTGTCAATGGCATCGGCAGATCATCCTCCTTATAATACACATGAATAGTTTCGAAAAGTACAAACAAAATTAAAAATAGTTCAACAAAAATTGGAATGTGTAAAAGCTGAAATCAGGTTGCAATTTTGTGCATGAAGGAGCCTCCTGTTAACCCTCCCAGTTGAATCGCCCCTAACTCTGCTTATCTCCATGTGCATGTCATATGTTTGTGTGATAGAGGAGCAGAAAGAGAAAAATAGCACTTGTGGGGCGTTATATTTTATAATGAAATGGTATTCTTATTTGTACTTATATATTTTTTGTTACAGAAAATGATTTCCAAGCAGTAGGTCTCTGGCTTCTAGGTGTGTTTTCCTCATGTAACATGTTTCACAGCTGATCCTTTGGGCCGCCTATTATAGCACCATGACAGAAAAGAAACCTGACTCATAAATCTTTCACAGCAAACTTTCTCCCTTTTTATAAAAAGAAAAGCACAGGTGTTATTTGTGACACAAACACTGGCTCCATGTTACTAAAGTGTCACAGTGTAGCCGTGAGAGTGTGACTGAACAAGCATGTACAATACCAGGACCAAGAAACAAAAGCAGCTGAATGTGATTCAGCCATCATATGTGCTTTTCAAAATTATGTGATGTAGCAAAATAAAAAATGTGTCCATTATAAACACAATTGTACAATCACATCAACTAAGGCAGATTTCTATAGATTGGACCTCTCGGTAACACTACCACTATGATTGTTGGGCTTTCTCTTCCTTAAGTTAACTGACTTTTATGAGATACTTATTTCTTAGGGCAGGCAAGGGCAGGCAAGGGCAGGCCAGGCCAGGCCAGGCCAGGCCAGGCCAGGCCAGGCCAGGCAAGGCCAGGCAAGGCCAGGCAAGGCCAGGCAAGTTGATTTATATAGCACCTTTCAGCACACGGCAACCCAAAGTGCTTTACAAAATTAAATAAAAGACATTTAAGAATAAATACAGTGGAAACACATTATAAAAAAGCATTTAAAAACAGGCATTAAAAAGCAAAGATAATCAAATGAACCCAACAGGTATAAAATACATGGATAAAAGCCATACTGCAGTTTGAATTTGAACTACTCATCCAAATGTAGCATCAAAAAGATATGTTTTTAGTCTGGATTTAAAAGTATTAAGAGTTGCAGCTGACCTGCAGGGTTCAGGGAGTTTGTTCCAGATGGTCGGGGCATAAAAGCTAAATGCTGCTGACCGAAGGTCAGACAGTCTTATTAACTATATTTCATGACGACGACCAAAAATTTCGTGGAGTTACCAAATCCTGGTTTAATTAATTGCTAGAGGACGTTTCATACTGGTAAGGTCCTCAGAGTCCAGAAGACCCTGCCCAGACGAGAGACAATGTTCTCAGTCTCGAT